GTGAGTATACTTCAGATTTTTTCTCCAGGCTATGTGGGCGTGGTGCGTAATGAACAGGCAGACAGATTGGCTAGATCTGCAACTCTGGGTGGTGAACTGATACATGACAAGGCAGATGTGGTCAGGGCCCATTGGGAACAAGCAACAGAATCAGTAGAGATAGAAGATTATTATGGTCAGGAGAGGAGGAGGCACCTGGGTGTAACCAGAGGGTCTGGCCGGCTCACTACACTCAGAAGAAAGGCAAGACAGACATAACCAAATTCTGACCGGTACCATCAGTATTGGAACTCTGTGCTGGCTGCTGAAGATGAGGATGGAGCATGCATGGGAATGTCCCGAGTGCTGTGACGTCAATTCTGGACCCAACTCAACTCTAATTAGCATCATCATCATCATCATCATGTGCCCTGCCAGCTGGCGTAGGCGCTCATGCGTCTCCACAGATCACGGTCCCTGGTTGAGTGGAACAGCTCTTTTGATGATATCCCTCCATGGCATCGTTTTAGCCCATCCAGCATCATCTCTATCGGTCTTCCTCTACCCCTTTTTCCATTGATCTTTCCAGTTGTCTCTAATGTCTCTTTTCTCATTATGTGGCCAAAGAAGAGTGTTTGTCTCTTTCTTATTGTTATAATGAAAGTAGATCTCTATATACATCTACTTTCATTAGCCTCTTTCAAGCAATCGTTGTTAGTTACTCTGGCTGTCTCGGTATTTGTAACATTCGTCTCAGAAAACATCTCTGTTGCTTCCAAATTCTTCTTAATTTGTTCAGTGACATTCTAAGATTTGCTGCCATACAGTAGAATAGGTTCTATATAACATTTTAACACCCTTTTTTTCTGACATTAAATGAGAGCGATTAATTGCATAAGATATTTTTCATTTTCTAAAATGCAGCTTTCGCTTGACCTTTCTGCTTTTAATTTCTGTCACACATTTTCCATCTGATAATATGATTGTTCCCAGATATTTAAATTGATTGACTTGGTTAAGTATTTTTAGCATACGTTCTCCAAATGTTGCTAATTTACCCAAAACACCTGAAACTAAACACATTATGAATCTTACACTAATGGCGTAGAGCTCCTGAACCCCTCTAATGTCAATGAGAGTATCAAAATTCCATGGTCCAAATTCTTGGAATACACCTGAGAAAAAGAAGCAGGTCAACTAATTATCTTTGTATATGTCAAGAAACTATAAAGCATTAATGACTCTATATGTCCTTGGCAGTTGTTAATTTTAACTGGACAAACAACAGTTGAAGTAATATATGCTTATAGCCGAGAAAGTCAAATGACAATTTTTGGGGGAGTAAAGATAATGAAAATAATAAGTGATAAAGAATGGGTTAATAAAGCAGCTGTGTGGAACAGAAAGCATTCAAATATTGCAATAAAAGACAACTCAGCTATCTCAGAACATACAACTACAGAGTTCCTGCTTTGTATAGAGGGATGGCCTTTAAATTGAAACCTTAAAAGTGCTATAGAAATTGCCATAACCATGCCACTGTCTTTTAACCTGTCAATATTGTTGTTAAGGATGTCAAGATGATATAATGGTGCAGATAAACATGGTGACATCATCATGAGCGATTAAAGATGGCCACCCCACTTGTGACATGCAACTGTGGAACATTGTTCTGTTTCCCTTAAGCACAATATAACATTATCTTCCAGAACAGTGGGTCTCAACTGTGGGTCGAATGACCCTTTTAAAGGTGTCGTGACATGAGAAAAATTAAGAACCACTGTTCTAGAAAGACTAAGATGACACTCGAGAACTTTATATAAAATCTGTGATGTTTGAATGGTTCTGTAGTTACTGAAGTATGATCTTGTCACTGACGTGTTGTTAATTTGAGCCTGCAAAGGCTCATTATAGATAATCATAGACTCATTCAAGTTTGTGAACCTTCCGATAAATTTTTAGGTATAATAGATAGTGGCGGACTTATACTTATCTGTGAACATAGAGCACTCTTTATCTAATAAGAGATACCAGATTTTGAACCCAGAGGAATTTTTCTTTCATAATGGACAGAGTGGTGCACTTGTACCTATTTGTGAACCTAGATTGCCATTTATCTTACAAGATACCAGTTCTAAATCCACATAAATCTTCCCTCCTTTCCTCTAAACACATATAAGGCTCAAAACTTTGTAAATCAAAGAACATCAGGACAACCGGTTGAGAATTAGTAGTGTACTGCTGTCATTATGTGTTCAAACAAGTAACAGTGAACCAGTCACACACACAGAATCAAGAATGTATTGGCAAAACCATAGGGATGACACAGCTGTACTTGGACAAGACTTGTCTACAAATATCCAATAGGAATGAGGGTATCATCAAGTGAAAGAAGCAGATAACCCAAGGTGTGACAGGATAAGAGTAAACGATTCTTACAGCAGTAATTGTCTGATGTTAAATATTCCAAGTTTCTTACTGGTTTTAACTTCATACATACATACATACATACATACATACATACATACATACATACATACATACATACATACATACATACATACATAATACATACATACATACATACATACATACATACATACATACATACATACATACATACATACATACATACATACATACATACATACATACATACATACATACATACATACATACATACATACATACATACATACATACATACATACGTACGTACATACATATGTACATAAGTACACACACACATGCAAATCCACACACACACACACATATATATTGAAACAGATATACATATATACTTAGTTTCTTTATCTTTGATATATAAATTTTAAACCTAGTTATTTTTCCTTTCATCAAGTGTTCAAAACTTATCCTGCATCTGATATCACTTGTGAGATTGGAGATCAAGGTCATATATGAAGGTTCAATCTAGCGTCAGGTGTTTAATCAGTCCAATACATTGTATTTCTGGTGGTAGTAGTGGTGTAGTGGTAGTACTTTTTATGAACAAATTTATAACCAATAATAAACATAACAGTGAAACAAGGCATCCTTGCCACACACCTGCTGTCAATTAAAATGCATCTGTAAGTTTTTTGCTCAGTTAGAGTTCTAATTTCCTACTTTCATATGATACCTGAGGAGTGACTGGCAAGGGTAGCTTGAATACTTGTTCTTCAGGTGGTAGACCCAGGTTTGAATCCTCAGTAATATGAAGGAAGTTTTATTTCTGTCAGGGCACAGTTCATAACAAATGTACTGGCTATGCAGTAGTAAATCCTCAGGCTAAAGGCCTCCCCCACCTCCACTTCACTTTTTTGCACCATTTTTTACTCTTTCCATCCATTCTAGGCCATGAGTATGAAGTTGGGTGGCCAGTTTCTGTCCTCATTCCCTCTTCTTCTGTAACAATCCTGGAAAATGGTACCAATCTTTATGAGGCTGCATTGGTCCAAATGGCTTGGTCTTTCTTTGCAGAATAGTTAGCCACCTGTTCATAGCATCACACAAAACCCAAAATTCACAGGTTTCGGTACATGCAGTCCATAAAATGAACATTTGACATTCTGAGTGTCCATCACATGGCTGAACGATTCAGCCACACAGACCCAGTAAAGCAGTGCATTATTATGTTAAATACAATTTAGGTCACATTCTTTTACTCTCCTTTAACCTAAAGTGGCTGTTTTTACCTTAATATTTTTCAGAGACAACCCTTAAAGTAAAATTAGCTCCTAACATTTATGACCATTTATTCCTGGATGTTTTCTAGGACAAGCAGTACAATGAGCTCTTAAAAATAATCTGGGACCTAAAATCTGATCCTGGGAAGATCACTGAAAATCTGGAATGAATAATTACCTTACTTTAGCCTCTCGGCAGAAATCAATTAATCAGCTACAAAAATAAAAATATCTTCTTCTTTGCTTTTCCCAGTTACTTTAGCAAAGTGTTCTGGGTAAAACAAAAAAAAAGTTCAAAACTCACCAAAACTTGTGTTCCCAAACACTAGCCTATATTTGCTTTGCAAAAACTGGCTCAGGAACTGTGTTAATTCACTGAGGCTGGTTGGTTTCAGCCATTGCGTTGTAGCTCCAACAATGCGGATAGACTTTGCTGTTTCATCACTGCATTTATGATTGTTAAGACCACTGTTTTTGCAGTGACCATTGCATGTTTTCCCAGTTTTCTTGCATAGTTTGGCTTCAAGTTCCTGAGAAATAAACAGCAAATGAAATATTACAAATGTATTAATCTTTAATCTATCCATATTCAATCTTCTTTTTCTACACAAACATCAGTATAAGACAGTCATCTTTTTTGGGCATGTTAAAAGACGACAAAAGCTGACATATTTGTGACAACTGGACATATTTACCGAGACAGAAACAGAGGAAGACAGTGAGAGACAGTGCCTTTTGTCACAGTATGGAAAGGTCTCAAGCACACAAAACTGATGCATGATGATTCATTCCCACATGGATTCAAACTGTTTATGTTGGTCAACCTTTACCATAATATGTAGGGGATAGGTATAATCTTTGTCAGTTGAGATAAGAAAGAGAATTACCAATGCCACACAGCATGGACTTTAGAAGAAGGTGTAATTCCTAACTGGTGCTTGATATAATTAGTCTTTAAACAAAACAGTTACCTTTGATAACATATTTATCACATGTAATTCTCTTGTGTTAATATAGAAACTGAGGGAAAGCCATTACTTTATTTTCTGAGGAGTAACTTTTAATCTAACAAAGAAGAAGAAAAATAAATTTAAGGCATTCTGGTGTGGGTTCTTTGGCACCACAGTGGGGGGAGGGGGGGGGGGGGAGACCCACTCTCTCCCTAACAAGCATGTTATAGAAGTTGACCAATTAGGGGTTTCCTTCGAAGTCTGATTACATCTGCCAGAGAGGCGAGGAACCAACAGTCTTCATACAAATAAACCAAATCTGTAAAACAAATGTGCATGCAAAACTCAGGTTCTGGAGCAAGACTAACACCGGATAAATAACCAGAACGTGAAGAAGAAGAAGCAGAAGAAGAGGATAAAGAAAAAGAAAAAGAAGAAGAGGAAGAAGACTCAACAACTGGGACACAGTGGGCTGTATAACAACTGACTGGGTGACAAAAGTTAGGAAAAAGCATCATCATCATCATGCCTGAAAGTCTCTCTTTCTCTAGCAAATTCTCCAGCCATATGTGCTTCCACAGCCAATATAATCTACCTTCAATGTGTGAAATCAACTCTCTGAAGGTTGGCCTCTACCTCGTTTTCCTGAAAATGCACCCATCATCACCGTTCTCTGTAGGCCAACACTAGTTTATCACATGACCAAAGTACCACAGCTTTCAGGACAGGATGCTTCTTATGAGCCAATTATCTTCAATGTTCAGATCATGTAGGATATCAGTATTTTCTTCTTCCGGGTCCAAGGTACTCTAAGAATTTTTCAGTAGCATTTCATTTCAAAAGCTCCAATTTAAATAAAGTATACCATATCAATCAACAACAACAATAACAACAAATGGATGGTGCATTATTTGATAGTAAATGAGTTAAGGCCCCTCTCTCTGTGGATTCCAGGGCCCAAAAGACACACACCACCCCCCCCCCCCCCCCAACATGCATGTCGTAAAAGGCTAGTAAGTAGGGGTTTGCTTAAATCAGATATGTTAAGCCAAAAGGCACAGATATCACAATCTAGCTATAAACCAGGACACAATGTGCTAGCAGTTATGGCCTGGCTGAAACCATGAAATGTAATGCAAGTATTTGTATGTCAATCTTCAGTGTGCCTTTTGTGACGTAAAACTGACATCAGTTCAGGCAAGCAATGATTACCTGACATGAAAATGACACCAGTTCAGGCAAGCAATGATTACCTGACATGAAACTGACACCAGTTCAGGCAAGCAATGAATTACCTCAATGTCTACAATTCCTCCTTTCAGCTTCGGTGGTGCATCCACAGCAAATGTTTTCATTGCATCCAGAATTGATCTGTAACCTAAAGAGAAATTTTTAGTTTAAGATTTTAACAAGAAAGAAGCAGAAATTATGTTCCCTGTAATCTTATTTGAGGGGTTTATGTAAATAAGGTTCTGTTTATGCTGTTTATGTTCCCGTCTATAGCTTAGGTGTTGCGTACATGCTTCATAATGCTAGGGTGGCGGGTTCGATCCCAGCTGGAGGTAATTTGCAGCAGATCACCAGGTGATGGTTTTGACAATGGTATTGAGACCTGAATATTCAGAAAGCAATGGCAAACTACTGAAAATAAATTTTCTGAGAAAAACCATAACAGCAAAAAATAAAAAAATTCTGGGGTTGATTCTCAATGACTGCAAAGGTGTGTAACTAAATTTTTTTGTTTTGTTTGTTAAGCTGACTAACAAATTAATTACATCAAATTGGCTTACAAATAAAGTTACAATTTCTTTCTGGATTTCTTCTTTATTTCCCTTCTTCTTCCACTCCTGCTGCTTCACTGTCTCTTCTGTTGCTTCTTCTTCAACCTCCTTCTATTTCCCAGTTTGGCAGTATCCAGTACACATAATTTCTTCTTCTTCTGTGTTCATCTGAAGAGCTAAATGTGTTGTGCCTGTTTACAACATGGCTGCAATAGCTGCACTTTTTTTTTTTTTTTTTTTTGCCGACCCATTCAATCAACTGCTACAGACATTTGTTACCCAGGTCATTCTTCAAAAAGTTATTTGTAGACTGATTCTGGATTTTGCAAACAGTTTTCTATAGGATGCAGTAGCCAGCTCTTCTTTGTCCCCTCTTACAACATGCATGGCAGGTTTCCATTTTCTACCTCTCATCATCTAACAGAGTAAAGGCCGCTAACAAGTAGGTCACAGGAGGTGACTAAATAAGCCTTATCTACAAAAGCGATGTACAAGCAAAACTCAAGTTCAGGATGAAGATCAATGTCTAGGAGTGGATGAACAACCAGCACTTTCCACCAGAGTTTACAGTCGGTGAAAGCTAAGAAGAAGAAGAAGAAGAAGAAGAAGAAGAAGAACTCGTGCCAAGATCAGGGTAGACTGAAGAAACATCAAGCAGAGATAGCACATATTTCAGGCGGAGATACCACATACTTCATGCAAAGATACAACATACTTCAGGCAGAGATACCACATACTTCATACAAAGATACCACATACTTCAGGCAGAGATACTACATACTTCAGGCAGAGATACCACATAGTTCAGGCAAAGATACCACATACTTCAGGCAGAGATACCACATACTTCAGGCAGAGATACTACATACTTCAGGCAGAGATACCACATACTTCAGGCAGAGGTACTACATACTTCAGGCAGAGATACCACATACTTCAGGCAGAGGTACTACATACTTCAGGCAGAGATACCACATACTTCAGGCAGAGATACTATATACTTCAGGCAGAGGTACTACATACTTCAGGCAGAGATACTACATACTTCAGGCAGAGATACCACATACTTCAGGCAGAGATACTACATACTTCAGGCAGAGATACTACATACTTCAGGCAGAGGTACTACATACTTCAGGCAGAGGTACTACATACTTCAGGCAGAGGTACTACATACTTCAGGCAGAGATACTACATACTTCAGGCAGAGGTACTACATACTTCAGGCAGAGATACTACATACTTCAGGCAGAGATACTACATACTTCAGGCAGAGATACCACATACTTCAGGCAGAGATACTACATACTTCAGGCAGAGATACTACATACTTCAGGCAGAGGTACCACATACTTCAGGCAGAGATACTACATACTTCAGGCAGAGATACCACATACTTCAGGCAGAGATACTACATACTTCAGGCAGAGATACTACATACTTCAGGCAGAGATACCACATACTTCAGGCAGAGATACTACATACTTCAGGCAGAGATAGCACATAGTTCAGGCAGAGATACCACATAGTTCAGGCAGAGATACCACATAGTTCAGGCAGAGATACCACATACTTCAGGCAGAGATACCATATACTTCAGGCAGAGCTACCACATAATTCAGGCAGAGATACTACATACTTCAGGCAGAGGTACTACATACTTCAGGCAGAGATACCACATACTTCAGGCAGAGATACCACATACTTCAGGCAGAGATACTACATACTTCAGGCAGAGATACCACATACTTCAGGCAGAGATACTACATACTTCAGGCAGAGATAGCACATAGTTCAGGCAGAGATACCACATAGTTCAGGCAAAGATACCACATACTTCAGGCAGAGATACTACATACTTCAGGCAGAGATACCATATACTTCAGGCAGAGGTACCACATACTTCAGGCAGAGATACTACATACTTCAGGCAGAGATACTACATACTTCAGGCAGAGATACCACATACTTCAGGCAGAGATACCACATATTTCAGGCAGAGATACTACATACTTCAGGCAGAGATACCACATAGTTCAGGCAGAGATACCACATACTTCAGGCAGAGATACTACATACTTCAGGCAGAGATACTACATACTTCAGGCAGAGATACTACATACTTCAGGCAGAGATACTACATACTTCAGGCAGAGATACCACATACTTCAGGCAGAGATACCACATACTTCAGGCAGAAATACCACATATTTCAGGCAGAGATACCACATACTTCATGCAAAGATACCACATACTTCAGGCAGAGATACCACATACTTCATGCAAAGATACTACATACTTCATGCAAAGATACCACATACTTCAGGCAGAGATACCACATACTTCAGGCAAAGATACTACATACTTCAGGCAGAGATACCACATACTTCAGGCAGAGATACCACATACTTCAGGCAGAGATACCACATACTTCAGGCAGAGATACCACATACTTTAGGTAGAAATACTACATACTTCAGGCAGAGATACTACATACTTCAGGCAGAGATACCACATACTTCAGGCAGAGATACCACATACTTCAGGCAGAGATACTACATACTTCAGGCAGAGATACTACATACTTCAGGCAGAGATACCACATACTTCAGGCAGAGATACCACATACTTCAGGCAGAAATACCACATACTTCAGGCAGAGATACTACATACTTCAGGCAGAGATACTACATACTTCAGGCAGAGATACTACATACTTCAGGCAGAGATACCACATACTTCAGGCAGAGATACTACATACTTCAGGCAGAGATACCACATACTTCAGGCAGAGATACTACATACTTCAGGCAGAGATACCACATACTTCAGGCAGAGATACTACATACTTCAGGCAGAGATACTACATACTTCAGGCAGAGATAGCACATACTTCAGGCAGAGATACTACATACTTCAGGCAGAGATACTACATACTTCAGGCAGAGATACTACATACTTCAGGCAGAGATACTACATACTTCAGACAGAGATACCACATACTTCAGGCAGAAATACCACATATTTCAGGCAAAGATACCACATACTTCAGGCAGAGATACTACATACTTCAGGCAGAGATACTACATACTTCAGGCAGAAATACCACATACTTCAGGCAGAGATACCATATACTTCAGGCAGAGGTACCACATACTTCATGCAAAGATACCACATACTTCAGGCAGAGATACCACATACTTCAGGCAGAGATACCACATACTTCAGGCAGAGATACCATATACTTCAGGCAGAGGTACCACAGACTTCAGGCAGATAGCACATACCTGTACATCTGCAGATAGTGGCATCAAAATCATCCTCAATCTGTTGAACCGTTACGGTGGGGTTTTCTTTCAACAAGCTAATGAAGAAATAGAATTGATTAACCTTCTTTTAGTGTCTGTGACTCATGTATTATAAATGCCTTTTAATAATTTAGACAAACTATAGTGTGAAATTAGCTGCATGCAATTTGACAGTGGACTGCTTTGTGGTACGAATATATTAACACCATGGGAAGAGCTGCATAAAGGCAAGTGAAGAACAGGCAGACAGTGAAAAATGTGGGATGATAATAAGAAGAGGTAATTTAACGTATATTTGAGATCAACTAGACAACATACTGTGTATGTACATAACATAAATCATCGTCATCATCATCAAGTATCTTGCCATCTGGCATAGGCAATGATGCCTCTCCACAATCTGCAACTGTATGTATCAGTTTGTGTGTTGACACCCCTCCATGCAATGACAAAAGGTTGTCAAGAATCTTTTTGCACTGTCTGCCTCAGTCTCTCTTTTCACAGATCTTTTCAGCGGTCACATGTTCCAGTTTCCTTCTTCTCATAACAGGACTAAAAAAATGATAACTGTCTCTTTCTGATGTTTGTGATAAGTCGTCTTCGAGTCCTCGCATCATTTAAATCATCTGCACTGCTCAATTTGGCTGTCCAAAGAATTCTAAAGATTTACATCCTTATGTTAAAACTAGCTCTATACAGCATGCAAGAATTATTGTCCTAATCTTCAATGACATGGATTTATTGCATAAAATGTTCTTCATTTTATAAAATGCAGTTCTGGTCTGTTCTTTTCTGTTCTTTATCTGTGATAAATCTTCCATGTGCCTAGATAGTTTCATTTCTTTACTTGTCTTAAAATAACACTTTTTTACTTTTATTATACATTTAATCACTATTCTTTTTTTTGACAGTACCACTGTCTACCCAATATTTCAATTGAGGCCCATTTTATCACCTTTACCAACATGGTATCTATCAATCCCTGTCACATACATAACAGACAGAAACACATAAAATCTAACAGCATCAGGACTCACCCATACATATTCATGACCTGAGCTGGGCTGCAGAAACCACATTGGGCTCCATCATGCTGTGCCAGTTTGTCTTGTATCACATGCAGGCCTGTCTTAGGATTGCCCAGTCCCTCAATTGTGGTGATTTCAAAACCATCACAGGTAAACAGCTGCAGGCAACACTGGAGATATCATAAAACAAGCAAAACTCAAAGTTCTGGAACCAGACCTAGGTCCAGAGATGGACAAACAACCAGAACTTTCCACCAGAGTTTACAGCTGGTGAATGTGAAGAAGTAGATTGAGAAAGAAACAAATCTATTAACTAACACTTTATGTACCAGTCAACTCAGTATAAGTTTTTTGGTTAGTTTAATGAGAATATCTTTGTGACTTTTTTAATATTACAAACAGCTGTTTGTTACGTTAACTCAGTCTTTCAAAATTAGCTTAGTTTACACTCCCCATAGTGTTATTTTAACTGTTAGACCATACTTTAGTGTCTTTAAAACATATAGTGTAATTATAAGCTAGATTCAAAAAAAGTTTATTATTTATCATAGTTGAAACCTGCATTATCATCATCATTATGTGCCCTGACAGCAGCGCTGGCACTCACGTCTCACAACAGATCTCAGTCCTTGGTATTTTATATCTTTGTGTCAATGTCATCAAAAATATTTCATGACAGACAGGATTGAGCTGTCATGACTGTCTATGTCTGCTGCAGACCTGGTACCTGAGAACAAGAGGAAGCTTCAGAAAATTTATCTAATTTTTAGTTTTATCTTTCTTTGGTTCTTATTCAGCTATGTGTTTGTCCACATTCTTTATTAAATTACTATATGGATTAAAAATAAATTACTTTAATTAATGAGCATGTTAACATAAACAAGCACAAAAATCATATAAGTAGTGAAAAATTAGATTTTTAAATGAGTTATAAAATACTTTGATAAACTAAAAACAAAAACAAACTGAACAATCACTCTTATTTTGATATAATATTTTTTTCCATAAATTTATATTGGTTATATATTTAGTTTAGTTATTATAAAAGTGTACATTATTCTAACACAACAAACCACATACACAATAAAAAGGATTTTAAAAAAAAAAAACAACAACAAACAACCAGCCTTTTCAATAATTTTCATCATGAAGAAAAATATATTACTCACAAACATTTTTAATTAAAATCTTTGGGTTTTATATCTTAAATAGAAACGCTCAGGATATATGACACAATGTAATGTTTAATTTTACAAATGACTTTCCTATTCGATTTCTCTCAGTGCCATTTCAATCAGCAACCATTTTAGTTTCACCTTCTTTACAGTAGAGTTTATCAAGTAATATCATGCCAAGTTTCAAAGAAATAAATATACTTCTCATATTTCAATCAAGATAATGTCTTTCTATTTCACGTTAACTTGCTGGACTTTAGTCTTATTCAAGAACCTGAGTGTTGCAAGCATATTCATTTTACAGAACTGACTTATCTATATGCAGACTGTTAGTTCCTTGCTTCTGAGGCAGATGCACTCCGACTTTGAAGGTAGTCCCCAGTTAGTCGACTCTTTCAGCATGCTTTGTGGAAAGGCAGTAGGTCTATTCTTGTTTTCCTCATAACAGGGCACCAGAATAAAGATAACTTCAGTTCTAGAATTATTCTAATATTATTAAACAGTAGAAGGATGCCTGAATGTGACAGATGATAATTCCAGCTGACAACTCCATCATTATCCTTGTCATGAACATCATCACCACCATCAATCAGTTCCATCACCACAGTGAAAACTAGCAGTAATAGATATCAGCAGTTTATGTCCAGATCTTTTGCTTACATTCTACTAACAAGTTTCCTCACTATATCCTAATGCTGCTTTTCAAGTTATATCTTTGATATCATGTAGATCTTTTGCTTTTTTTAAGCATTCCCTCCATAATGATTTTAGAAGACTACTGTTATCTGATCTGACTAAAGCACCTTATCTTCTTTAATTTATTTCATTTTGCAGGACAAATTTATCATCCAGCAAACTATCTCCAGCATTTAAAGACTTACATTTTACATTTCTAAAAGAAGTTAAATTCTTAAAATCTTTACATTCTACAAAATCAAGCACACTCTATCATATGCTATGCATGGAGAGGAAAATAAAAATCAGCTTTTACAAACATCAGGAAATTATTAAAAGGAACAATATATAGAACAATGCAAGTATGTTGTATAAGGTGACTACTTATGGATATTACAGAATAGGTGTTATCCACAAAACACAACATGCCAACAACCATTCTAAGAGCAAACACAGGAGAAGAAATGGCACTGAACTACATTTATTTGGGAGAAAAACACTATTTTAAGTACATGCTGCACAGGACAGGGTCAGGTGAATAAAATTTAAAAAAAACAAACAGTATTACAAAAAATGAGCATGAAAAAGATATACAGTCATACGCAACACTCAGGTTCTGGAGCAGGACTGCAGTTCAGTAGTGGACGAGCAACCAGAACCTTCCACCAGAGTTTACAGCTGGTGAACGCGAAGAAGAAGAAGTATGACTAAAAAGATAAAGAATATTGTGTTTCAGATACTCCTCACATATGTAGGTGAGGATCACCGTGGAGAGGTCCCAGAAACCGCGTTCAGCCTTTAGGCCATATTTATGGCCAGGCTATAGTGCAGCCCCTGGCAAAGCCAGAGTAGGGCTTCAAATAACGAAAAATGTTATCCTAAAAAGGACGGGAAGATACAACTTTGTTTCAATTAATCTTATCCTATTCTGTCACAAGTTAACATTTTTTTAAGTTTGGAATCTTGGCATAACTGGATGAGTAACAATATACAAGAGACTTAATGCTTCCTTGGGAAGAATAAAACAAACAAAAATGAATCTTACGGAGTTGACAGCATATTCAATCTTCTGCTTCGAGACTGGCTCATACAGTTTAACAGTCACCAGGCACACGCCACAGCCTCCTTCATAACAGCAGCCCTTGGTGCCAACTGATATGCCAGTGTGGCGAAGAAACTCAGCCAATGAGGTTGCAGGATTGTACTCATTGCCAGCTAGATTATAAAACAAAACATTGCACGTATATAACCCAGTAAAGCAGTTATCCATTTATTTATATTTAGAAGTTGTTTTCATTCACTTTTCTCTCCTCCCCCTCCAAAAGGATCCAAGGGTCCAATTTTAATAATTGAACCAAAAAAAGAATAGACTCACTGTCCCCATAACAAGGCAGTCATAAAAGGTCATTAACTAGGGGCTTGCATACTTCAGAGTGCATCTGCCTGAGAGGTGAGGAACCAACAGTCTGCACACATATAAGCAAGTCCTGGAACAAGACCAAAGTTAAGAGGGGGACAAAGAACTAGGGCTTTCCGTCAGCGTTTACAGCCGGTGAACGTGAATTTTTAAAAAAGCAGAAACAGAATGGGTAGAGATGTTGAATGGGAGTTTAAAGGGAAGGCAATCTACAAATTATTTACAGCTATTAACTAGAAAATGTCGAATAACAAGTGAACTAAAAAATACCTGGCAATAAGAAATTACTAAACTAAGACTGCATGGTTTATTCCAATATGACAGAAGACACCTGTTCTATATGTCAGATACATAATGATTTACCACAGAGACATAATGATTTACTCTACTGCAAGAGATCTGAATTCTAAAAGACTCCCCTAAATAAATTTCTGCTGCTATTAGCAATTGATAATTGAAAAAATACTTGGAGTAGATTGTTCTAAAGAACTACAGGAAAGGATTAAACTGCACATAACAAGAACAGGAGGTTAGCATATGAGATGTTAATACACCTTTTAAGACAGAATAATGGTATTCCATACCACTTTAATTATCCACAAAGATAGACTACACAACACAATTACTATTATTGTTTGAAAGTACATTTAAAATATATTGCTTGTGACAATCTATATTCCTACAATATTAAACAAATAATACTGCATAACCAAACATAAGTGGTAGGCATAAACATCCATTACTGAATCAGAAGTAAAAACATTCTATAAATCCCAATTATAACCCAGATGAGTTGAACATGATAGTGTTGTTTAAATTACTACTACATCACCCTATAAGCCTCCTAAGCTGCCTTGGAAAGTCCCTGGAAAGATTAGTGAACAACAGATTACCTAATTTCTTGAAAGAAAACAAAATATTTGATGACAGCCATTCAGGCTTCAGGAAATTTGGAGGCACTGACGACCAAACAGCATATCTCGCACAAGAAATTGAAGATGCTTTCCAAAGATAATATGACTGTGTTGTCTTCTCTCAGAGATAAATGTTTATTAGCCAATTATACTGAAGTATTAATTAAATTACTTCAGCACCTGTGTTTATAGTGACTCTGTGGTCTATTCCTTGAGCTCAACCTAATAGTGGTCAAGGCCTTATGGGGGCGCGTGTACATTTTGGAACAGCTAATTGATCATCACAGTCTGATGAAAGTGATGCAGCAAGGAGTGATGAGGGATCTGGTTGATGCTCAAAGGAAAGGCAAGACAGATGTATAATCAGACTGCTAGTGACACCATTGGCGCTGGAACTCTGTACTGGCTGCTAAAGATAAGGACAGAGTGCTTATGGGATTACCATGAGTGCTGTGATGTCGGTTCATGAATCAACTCAACTCTTTGGGAAGTTAACGTGGTCAATAAGTGCTCGCTGAAGTCTGATGTATCGGATGAAAAGAGCAAATGACGCAGCTCTACTGTAAAAAAAAAAAAAAAAAACGGAACCCAGGCTCAACCCCTTGAGACAGGAAATGATGTAACATCTGCTTTTGACTGAAAGCACTGAGTCAAATTGTGTTGCTGTGTATTACGAATGTTTACTGATAATTTGAATTAAAATACAACATGGACACTTGGATAAGATGTAGTTTGTCCCTCGGTGTTTCCTATTTCATGTTTTAAATCAGAGCCAGTGATGTGAACAGGAAAATCTCAAAATGTTGCTCACATTTTTGCTTCCTTTACAACTACATATTCTAGCATTATCTTAACAAACATAACCTGTATGTGTGGGTGAAACTGACCATTCTCTGTCACTTGCAGCAGTTTAGCTAACATGTTTATCTAATCTAAAACCATGAAGTACGTTTGTAACCACAATTAACAGAGATTGTGCATCACATACATTATGCACCATATCTTTGTATCTCATCCAATGTTTCAGGGTTATCATCTTTATGACAGGGTTAATTAAGGTCCTAACCTATAGACCACACAAAATAATTAGTTGAATTATATTGACCCATTTAAAGACCCCAAAAGAAATATCTCAGTGATAATGCTGCTACTGCAAGGTCCCCAGAGTCATACGGGTTGATAAATATAGACCATTCACTTCTGGACTTTAGTCTTGATATAGAACCTGAGTCCTTTTTACAGATCTGGTTCATTTATACAGACTGCTGGTTCCTTGCCTCTCAGGCAAATGGCCTCCGACCGAGAAGGAAACACCCTCAATTAGTCAACTTTAACAAAATGCAGTGGGCCTACCCTCTTCCCACTTGAAAATGGGGTCATAGAACCCATATATGGATTTCATACTACTTTTTGTCCTAATTCTTTCGTAGATGTTTCATGCTACAACAGCTCTTCCTGTTCCCATTTTTGTCAATTTGCCTATTATGTGAGTTCGATCCCTGGTAAGGGATGGAGATTTTTTTTTTTTCAAATAGGGGCTAATGTAAAAATCCTAAACTGCAAAAGTTGTTTGTAGTAACTGCATTGGCCAAGTAGCCATGGGGTTTAAATCTTCAGGCTTAAGAACCACCCCCCCCCCCCCCAACCGTCCTACTTTGCCCTAAAAAGTGGTAAATGCAGGCAGTAAAGAGTTTTTTTTTTTGGTAGCCTTTTGCTTTGGTTGTACACTCTAAAACTGTTCTGTCCATCTCATGAAGTCATCCTCACCTTTTGCCTTAGTTGCACACTCTAAAACTGCTATCTGTTCATATAATGAAGTCATCCTGCTACTTGTATCAATACCTATCTCTTACCCATCTACCTTTCACTGTTCTCCATCGAATAGCCATTATATAAGTGTTATGCCTTTTAATGTGGCCAAAATATTTCATTTGCCTCTTTCATAATTGTTTCAGCAACCCTATTTTGCTTCCCAGTCTCTTGAAAACCTCTGTATTTGATAGGTTTTTAATCTATTAAATACATATCTGCAAATCTTCCAGGAGCTGTTTTAAAAATGTCATTTTCAACTACTTCATAGCTTAAAACAGAAATTATGGGATGTCAATATTTTTATTACAGAACAAGTGTACCTGTGTACTGTTTTCCATTAACAGAAAAGGATATGCTGCTCTTGAAATCTTGAATTGTGCGGAACTTGAAGAAATGGCCGCAGTTTTCACAAGTGCAGGCATACACGCCATTTGTCAAAGAGTCCTTTCTTGGTATATGGCTGAAAACAGGTTTTGTCAGTTTCTAATGTGATTCCTTACATGGCTGAAAATAGGTTTAGTCAGTTTGTAATGTGATTCCTTACATGGCTGAAAATAGGTTTAGTCAGTTTGTAATGTTATTCCTTACATGGCTGAAAACAGGTTTTGCCACTTTGTAATGTGATTCCTTATTTATAAACCTCAAAATTGATCTCAAGTCTTTTTTTTAGACAAAAAGGTGCTGGTACTTTACAGTACAGTATCTTTAAAAAAAAGGTGCCGATAACCAACACAAAGTATCTGATACAGTAGAACTGACCAAAAAAAAAAAAAATGATGCCCACAACAGGTGCCGGTACTGTGTACCGCTAGAAAAAAACCCAACTGATTACACTTGATATGCCTTTAATTTTCTTCTTTGGCATTTGCTTTTAAAAGTGAGGTTGGCACACTGTATTGCTGTTAAAAGCTAGGCTGCAATATATGTGTCTTTGCACCAGAACCTGCATCGGCGACCGGGCCACCCATTGGCTCGCCGGTAGACGACTTCACCACCAGTCGGGACAGTATTCGGGTCTGTCTCCTTTGACTGCAGGAGTCCTTCCTCAGGGCTGTTAATGGCAAGCAATGCTGAGCCATTTTATATGGCGCACATAATCTAGTCAAAATTATAACCTAAAGCTCCCCCATTCGGGGATGATACTGGTTGAACGTGACATATTTTTCCCCCCAGCAATACACCTGCCTACTCAGAACCTGCACAGAGAGTTATAATATTAAAAGATCATCTAACAGTGTCCCATAAAGCACGTTAATCTTTTCTCTTCCCTCTTGATTCACAGAAATGTACAGTACTTTCATGTTTTGTTTTCCCAAATTTCTGAAGCTAAAAATGTATTTAACTCTTTGAGTCCCAGGGGGTTTAGCATCAGAGGCCCAAGGGGTAGTCAAAAGAGATGTAAAATTAGCGCATCTTGTGTTCATTGGGCCTCTAGGCCGGAACCTATGAACGTATGTTGCGTTCTTTGGGACTCAAAGAGTTAATTTGTTTAAAATATTTATTTATTTGTTGTAGGGAAAAATAAGGGTTTGTCTTATACATGGGTGAGGGGATCTTATACACAGAAACATATGTTATTTAGATTTCTCAATAAGCTTTGCATGATTAATTATTTTATTATTTAATATTGTGTAATCTTTCTGTTCTGCACAGTAAAAACTAGTTAATAAATACTTGTAGCTCACTAGTAATTAGTTAAACTATTCTGCTGAGTTTAGTTAATTTGAGTTAAGAACTGTTATCAATGCACTTTAGGCATTTCTATAAGTACTCTCTTCCCATCTTCAGCAGGCACAGCAGAATTCAAATTCTGATGCTACCAATGGAAATCTGATTGAATGACTGTATTGCCCTTCTTCTGAGTGCTGAGTGTCACCAAGATCCCCCGATCACTCACTGCACCATTCTCTTCAGACCGTGACGACTTATTTGTGCTTGTTATTCTTTAAGTTTCTTATCCATACAGTTGTTCTGATTTCTTTTTCCTCTTTTGTCGTCTCACTGATACAAGGTTGTAGCCCAGTCTCATGGTTTTCTGTATTCGTCTTGCACTTCTAGGGTGGCTTGAGTGATGGATTTGATCATCTTTTTGTTTCAGCTACACCGTTCATCCATCTCTTTCTTGGTCTTCCTCTTGCCTTCCTCCCAGATGTTTGACTGTAAAAAGTCTCATATGCAGTCTGGACTGGCTGCATTCTCACTAGATGGCTGAACCATTTCATTGTTTGCCTGTTAAAATAATCCAGACATGGTCTTAGTCCAACTTTCTTTTTAATGCTGGTATTCATAACCCTGTCTTGTCTAGTGTTGTTCGTGACCCTGTGAAGGTAGTGCATTTCACATGTAGTTATTTTCTGTTCTAGTGGCTTATTCATCATCCATGGGTAAAGCTGCTATTAATCATTTGCTGTATTGCTGGAAGGGAGACATTTTGGTGTCTAAGCTGTTCTGATTTAACGTTATTTTTTCCCCCCTTTTTTTTAATTATTGCCAAAAATAATTTTTGTTTGAGTTACATATTCTAAGTTTCATACAAGGTTTTATTTTTCTCTGACTTCCACAACATTCCTAGTTTTAGGAAAATTCTCTTGTCTTTTGCATTTCACATTATCATCCCATCTCATTTTGATCCTCTAATACCTTGTGGCGTCAAGGTGAAGTATAATTTATGGAAAATTGCCCATTTGTGTGCTTTGTAAATTGGGATTCCCAGGACCTCACAATTCCCTCTGTCTACTGCTTGCATGGTTAGCCTCTTCTTTGCTTACCACCTGGTCTGTACATAATGGCTTACTGTGGTATACTGTCTACTGGCATCCATGTTATATGGCCAAACCATTTTACCTGTTGTCTTCTAATGAACTCCAGAGCTGCCCATTTTCCTTCAGATTTCCTTGTTTCTGATTTTATCTCTTATTGCTCTTATTGTTGTATTGACAGCCCGTCACAGGAATCTCATTTCAGTTGTTGTAATTGTGTGTGTGTGGGTCATTGTCCAGGACTGGCATTGATAACATAGGGTTGGTAAGAAATTGTGTCACAGAGTGCTCTTTTGGTTTCTTTTGATACATGTTTGCTTCTTAGCATTAGAGCCATTTGCCCAGTGAGTTGGTTTGCTTTGTTACATCTGTCATCAATTATATTAACATATTTCTGTTCATTCCCCCATTTTTGTCTACACTACTGCCTTAAAAAGTGTTATCATTCCACTTCTTTAAACAATGTTTCAACAAAAATGATTCAGTTATCATTTAAGTATTTATTTAAATGATTTATTCTCAATATCTTTGTGGATCTGATATCAGCTTTTAGCACTAATTGTGGTGACCTCTATGAAAGTATATTTAGTTTATCTAATCTGATTTTTTATGTGGGACTGGAAAGTAATATCAGCAAAGTGAAGATTAACAAATCGGTCTGTCAAGTGTCAAATGAACTCCATTCCTGGCGATAATAATCGTTCCTTCTTAATCCAATTAATGGTGTGCTAAAATAATATAGGTGGAAAAACACATCCCTGTCTTACTCATGTTTTTATGTCAAATTAATTTTCTCATGTGTGTTCTGGAGCCTTATAGGGATGGAGGGGATGGGGGAGAATAGACTGCCCCTAACAAGCATGCCATGAAAGTTGCAGATATTGAAGCCTTGCTAACCACCCTTGGCAGGGGCTATTTAGAAGGCCTATTTTTACAAGGCTTAAAAATTAACAACATGCAGCCTAATATTTCTCAGTCATATGGCTAACAAACATCAAAGACCTAAAGCAGGTGGCAACGAACTACCAGACATGGAGAGCTATTACCTCTGCCCTGTTCGCGGCCCTCAACCCAGGAGGAAAGACTAACTAACTAACTAACTAACTAAGCCTAATACGTGTCTTTACTCTTTTTAGGGAGATGGAAATAAACGAATGTTTATCTGAATTTTCTTTCACTGTCTGTGGCTTTGGCGTTGTGAATGTGCTTTGTAAATCCAGGATGCTGGGTTCAATCCCAGCATTGGATGATTTGGTAGCAGACCATCTTGCCTTGTTTTTGACAGTGATATCAAGAGTCAACAGTTCAGAGGCAATGGCAAACTACTGAACCTAAAATTGCCTAGTGAAACCACAGTTAAAATTGGTGGAGTTGGTTCTGCAAACACCCTGTAAAGAATACTTAACTTAGTTTTTCCATTACTTAACCTATATGGTGTACATTGACAAGAATAATCCAGATGGCATTCCTTCAGTTCTTAACTCATGCAGCTGTTGTCAATGTTACTCTAATTGGATTTGTAAATCAATACAGTAAATCAGTACATGTACTACTTCACTACTTTAGTACTGATAAACTCTTCATGTGTTTAGTGGCCACCCCTTCATCATCATCCTCATCTAGTCGTGTTGTTGTATGTCAAATAGTGGTAGCAGTCTAATCCTTCATTCTATTTTAGCCTGTGCAGTCGTTTCGCTATCATGGATGGAATGCCTCCAGTTTAGCACCTTTGGTGTCTCTTGAACGTCCTCACTTCTCCATTTCACCCATAAAACATCCTAATTTTCCCATTCCCTTACTTCAATTCCAGTTTGGAGATTCTCCCTCACTACTTCTCAGGATGTGCTTAATATAGCACCACTTCTTTGTCTTTTAACTGTTTATATGGTTACATTTTACACTGTAAGATTTCTTGAACACTGTCTTCCCCCCACAGCAGTTATAACAGAACATACTGTTCCTTACATTACTTCATCTCCTTTTGTCTCTTAGTAATCTTTAAACTCCTGGATCTAAATCTGTTACCATAAGTAACAAATACTTAACTTTTTCAGCACATGACTGATGTAATTTAGTCCATTCTCTTTTAGAAATTGTACAGTTTAAATAATAAATTTATGGGTCAGCATCTTTTCTTCATTTTCATCAGGTTCACTGTTGCAGATCTAACCCTTCATCTGTTCCAATGTTTTATTTATTTGAGGTCTGTGGTTCTCAACCTGTCGTTTGGGACCATTTTTTTTAGGACAAATGAACCTTTTACAGGGGTCGACTAAGATCATCAGAAAACATTTTCATTGAAGTTATAAAGGAAATATAACTGTCTGGGGGTTACAACAACATGAAGAAACTGTATTAATGGGTCATGGCAATTAGGAAGGTTGAGAGCCACTGCTTTAGGTGTTTGTAAGTCCACTGGGATGTTACATCTCTCCATCATATTTTTTTAATCCTCCTTGTGGCCATTCAACTCTCTTGTGTACAGTTTGCTGTTTCTCTGTTATCTGCGATTCTCTCAATATTCCTCAGCCATTTCAGTCTATTAGCCCTCGTGATGCTTGTGATCAACAGTAATTCAAAAAGATTATGAATTTCACTTTTGCTTTTCCTTATTTCTCCATTCTCCACTTTCTGCATCTTTGATGGGTTCAAAAATTCGCCCTAAGGCTCTGTCTGCATTTAAAAAAAAAAATAAGGCTTAGCCTCTAATTTGTACTCCAGGTTTCAGAGCCTCATAAGACAAGTGGTCCTATAAGAATTTTTTTTTTATATTGATCTTGGCGTTACAAGATAGAGTACTTGATTTCAGCAAATGTTTTAGGGTACACTATACATTATATCTAGTCTGTATTTTAGATTGCATGCATTTCTTGTGCTAGTTTTGAATTACATTAAACAATATTACTTTGCCAGAGGAGTTAAGAGTTAAAGTAACAACTGGAGCACAGTAAGTTTGTGTCACAACGGGATGACGCTTAAGTAGTTTGAAAAAAAAAAAAACACTAATAATAGTGACAGTGGACCCAACACACGGGTTGTGAGTTGATTGGCACTACACGAGTTTAGAATCAATGAGTTAAAATTAGAACTGTCTGGGACTGAAAAAAAATTTAGTAATACAAATGTAAACAAACTCCCAAGTAATAATAATTGACTAATAATTAATCTGTAAAATAACGCACACACACACATCAAACGAGACACGCCTACTTGTACATCCACGATATCAGCAATTATTAATAGTAAAACAAATGTAGTACATTAATTATGTATAACACTGTTAGTGGTAAGGACCCCCTGCCTACAAAGCAAAACTGGTATAATAAAGGCAGTTTTTTGGCAGTTGGTAGAGTTAATAATAACATACGTGAGTAACGGTTACGTTATATAATACAATATACATCTTACCTGGCAGTGCAGATAGGACAAGCAATCGTGGCTGGGAATTTCAGTTCATTCTTTATTCTTCTTGAGAACATGGTGTGGGGCTGAAGTGTCTACCATACAGTAGATGAAGACTCCAAACTGTTCCAGTGTTTGGCTAAACTTTTTAGCAGCAGTCATTCACTCCTACGTTTCAACTGTTAAATGAATCCCGGGCTACGGCTGTGGTGTCTGTAATCTGTGGCAGCCTGTCACATGATCACCGCGGTCATGTGACATCGTAAAATTACAATAGCTCCCATTTGGAGAATATTTAAGGGTTCTGTGATATCATTTAAACAAAACACGCATAGTTAACAGTATTTACTACTGTCCGTCCCCGTGTGGGACGAATATTTCGTTATTTTGATGCCTCATCCTGGTTGTTGCCCTAGACCCTAATTTAATTGAACGGGGTTTGTGAGACCTCTCCACAAGCGACCCTCATCCGAATGGTGGAACGTTGTGTCATCGGGTGTTTTTCGCTCACTATGATGGTCTCGTGAGGCTGAACATCAGTCACTCGTTAATAGTATAATATAAACCAAACCCATTCATATCTGACTGCAGGTTGTCTCAAATCGTATTATAGTGCCACAGTATAGCTGTCTTGCACGGTTGAGCGGTTTTCCGAGATTCGATTTGTTTTAAAACATTATATTATAATATTTAAGTTTTTTTTTTTTTTTAAACTGCAATCCTGGAGAGAAGAAACTCTTTAAAAGGGGGAAGGGGACGACAAGTTTAGAGTTGAGTTGAGATAAGAATTGACATCACAGCACTTGGAGCATTCCCATGCGTGCTCTGTCCTTATCTCGAGCAGCCTGCGCAGAGTTCCAGTACTGATGGTACCGGTCACAATCTGGTTATATGTCCGTCTTGCCTTTCCTCTGAGTGTAGTGAGCCGGCGACCCTCTGGCCACACCCAGGTGCCTCATTATCTCCACCCCATAATAATCTTCTTTCTCTACTGATTCCATTGCTTGTTTCCAAAGGGCCTTTACCACATCTGCCTTGTCATGTATCAATTCACCACCCAGTGGTGCAGATCCAGTTAATCCATCTGCCTGTTCATTACCCACCACGCCGGCATTCTTGGTGACCAACTTTAGATTGTCATCCTTCTTTAGCGATTCTAATATTTATCCATTATAATAAGTTGTTCGGTACAATCTGACTTGCTTGGGATGTCCCGTTTTTAGCTCAAAATATTAGTGGTATATCCTCGTTTGCTTCCTTAAATATTAGCGCCATATCCTGTTTTTAGCTTAAGATACTGGCCACCCTACCTAAGAGGGTACGCAGGTCTTAACTAATTGCGAATCACCGATCTAGGACTTTGATCTCTTTAGAGGTTATGTAGATTAGGTCACTTTAATTAATTTCTCTATTTATGGAGGCTAGAGAGAGAAGAAGAGGAGAGAGAGAGAGAGAGAGAGAGAGAGAGAGAGAGAGAGAGAGAGAGAGAGAGAGAGAGAGAGAGAGAGAGAGAGAGAAATATGGAATAATAGACAAGGAAAAACATGCAAGAACTAATTTATACAATTGTAGACTATGCAGTATCCGGCTTTATGTGTCGAAAAGCAGGCCTGATAACAAAAAAGCCGTATATACCGGAGTTCTATAAATACTTAGTTTCTACCCCATCCATTTAATTAAAAACAGCCTTTTAAAACTAAAACCCGTTTCAATTATTAGTTTCTTTACTTTTCAATAGGTAGTACTTTATAAATGTTTCCTATTTATTGTAGCGGCGTCTGTGGCTTAGGCGTTGCGAGTCCGATTCGTAATTCCAACGTACCGCGATCGAAACCCACTGCTGGCTGCGTGGATTTTTATCATGGTATGAGGCATCGCAGGTAGTCCCAGCCTAAAACGGGTACCAGGATGGCTGTCCTGGGGAAGCAAGGACGGCCGGCGTAATGCTGACCACATTACCACTTAGATTGGTCTGCAAAATATGGGTATTCTTCTCGTATGCCCGATGCGCCTAAATGCATGAAAAGGGATCTTTATCTATTATTACTGTACTGTACGTTTTAAATTTTTATTACAAAGCAAGTCGACAGATTACTTTTATTCTACTTCCACCAGATTGGGCAGCACTCCGCTTTTCAGTTTCTGCTCGATTTGTTTTTCTGTGGCCAACTGTACCCTTTCTGCCTCCCAACTCTAAAGCAAAAGTTTTCGCAGTTACCCCAGAATCCAGACGCTTTATAGCGCATATTATCGTTCTCGTCAATACTCACTATAACCTCTTTTTTACCGCCCATTTCGTAATCTTTAATTTAACAAAAACAAAGAAGGACAACAAACAACAATTTGATAAAGTAACAAGGAATAGTAGAAAACTTACTCTGCACTGTTGTAATCTGTTACATAAAGGATTAAGTAAAGAGAGTTGGATGGAAAAGGTGAAAAAAAGGGGGGGGGGGTGTGAGGGAATTTCCACGCTTTAATATCTCAGTTTGTATTCTGCACCAGTAGCGAACGGCTGCAACGACTTGGCAAAGTAACGAGGACTAATATATTTTTCTTCAAACTAGACCGGATAATACGGAGCCGTATATTCGCGGTCCGGATAATCGAGGTTCTAATGTAATTTAATGTACTTTTTTTTTGGGGGGGGGGGGAGGGGGGGGGGGGGAGGTGGGGGGGGGGGTGGGTGGGGGGGGGGGGGGGGGGGGGGGGGGGGGGGGGGGGGGGGGGGAGGGGTCATTGGTTAACCTTATACATTTCTGACATATTCTGAAATTCTCTGTGATTGAGAGAATTATTACATTACATGGTTCGTGTATGTTAGCGCGCGCGCGCGCGTGTGTGTGTGTGTGTGTGTGTGTGTGTGTGGAGGTAGCGGGTCTTGTGTTTCGCTAATTCAGCCTAATATGCTAGTGAATAACAATTTGTTCCATTAGGATCAGTCCAGTTCAGAGTTATGTTATCACAATCGATGTCTTTGTGCATTGGGCATATCTTTGCGTGCTCAGTCCTCAGATGCGGCAGATACACCAAGGCACCTCTATTGTTTATTCCCATGAGAAGTTCGGAGTTGAGTTGAGTTACGAACCGACAGCAGCATTGTCAGACGCATGAAAAACGTCTTATGCTGATCTGTACTTCCGCCTTACTTATCTTTGTGAAGTCGTCTCCATGTGGGACGCAATTTTTAGGTTATTTTAAAGCTCCACCCTGGCTTTTGCCGGTGGCCATAATATAACCTGCAGATTGAACGCGGTTTCTGGGACCTTTCCACGGGTGATCCTCATCCGCATGGTGGCACTTTGTGTCACCGGGTGTTTAAGGCTTTGTGTGATGTCCTGGTGGGGTAAACTTTACTTACTTACTTACTCTGTGCTTGGGAAATCCTGTCTGGTTTATCAAAGGTTGTAGCCTTATCATCCGTTGCAACAACACCTTCAAAATCTATTCTTTCAAATTCTCCCAGTAGCAATGGACTATTCAGTGGGGTTCAAACGTCATGCTCTTGGCTTGTGACAAAACCATATTTTTAGTATAATTTCCAGTTGAACTTTATTACTAAAAACTGACCAAGAGAACAGCATCCGAAGCATAGGACTGACACTATTAACTGTGGGACGCTGATCTATGAATTGAAAGGTGAATCTGAGCACCCAAGGACGTGTCCTGAGTGCTGTGAAGATAATCCAAGTCATAACTGAAAGCTGAGCATCCCAAGCGAAATGTAGTCTTAGTCTTCGTCTCTGTCGGGGTTTCAACACCACTGCAAAATGGTTTCCCCAGACTAGCTCCGTTCCTGTGCCAGTGAAAATCAAATGAAATGTCTCTGGTTGTCCCATTTGAAAAAAACTGGTGAACAAACAATTATTCCCGGCACAATCAAGAAATTTGCGCACGCAGTAGATGCACATGGCAGTTGCTAGAGACGCCAAAGCCAACAGTCGCCACCAGAAAGGCAGTTTTTCGTTGATGGAAGTAGTCGGGCACGATATGCTGGCTCTGCACACGTAAAATTATTACATACGGTATTTCACCAGCCCACACGTAAACCGGCTACCGGCCATATTGAATACCACGACACAACAGCAGCACAAATGAAAGGGATTCCACTTGAAAAACACATCTTACAGGGCTACTTCTTTTGTGCTGCATTTTACATCAGAGCGATAACGGATTCAGCGGTTGCAATTGCTTCACCGTGCGGACCACAGATTTGTCTTCTAGTCATAACCCACTGCAAAAGCTGCGACAGACAGTGAATTTTAAACGCAAGACAAATCGTCCACAGCTGGGAGAGTACCCGGCATCTCGGAATTACGAAGCGCGTTCGCAAAGCCTAAGCCACAGACGCCGATTGTCAACTGACCATTTACGCTTAATTTATGTGAGTGGTAATTTTGGAGATTCTACTGTAGTTACTACATTCGCCATCACCACAGACTGTGATTGCCACGCCCAGTCATCGCAGAATGGACTATCGTCTACAAAGAACAGAGAGGTGCCAACTATACTTGTGAATACTTTCTCAAGCCCCCTAATGTCCTCACAAGTCCTCCAGCGATATAAATGTCAGTCTTAACAAGCTTACTTTGTACTCCAATACTCAAAAACTTTGAACTTTGCACTCGTAATCCTAATTACAAACCAATGCTAAGTTCATTAGCAAACTCGGATGTATAAATAAATAATGTCATGAATACATATTGGGTCTAACAGACTTTTGAGCTTTGTGGTTACATGAAGATTCTTAGAATACCATAGAACAAGAAGAGTCTAACTGAGTGCTTGGCACGACACTGTGAGCTGTGGATTTAATTTGAAATGTTTTTTGACTCTACCCGACGTGGTTTGTGCTGTGAACTGTAGCTTTAGTAAGTGGTCTGTTGCCATATACCTGGTAGTACCTTATGTGATTCCACACAGGTCTGTTGTAACAGCTGCTTATATTGATGATGAACCGCATTTCTAGTGTCATACTGTTTGTGTAAGAATATCATGGGTAAAGAAAAGAACAAATGCATCCATTCTTCAAGAATTGAATATTGAAAAAGGTTGGCTTTTAAAGAGGATAAAACAT